CAGAAGTATCTTCTTCCTCTAATACTAAGAAAACTTCGTATAATTGTCGTATTTCAATATTTATGACGTCATAACTTTCTTATATGATTCGGACAAAACTCCCAAACCATATAAAATCGATAGGAAATTGTCTGCTCTTCACAGTAGTATATAATATTAATCGATGCCTTGATTGCACAAGTATCTTCTTCCTCTAATACTAAGAAAAGTTCATATAATTGTCGTATTTCAATATTTATGACGTCATAACTTTCTTATATGATTCCGACACCATATAGAGTCCATAGGCAATTATCTGTTCTTCACGATAGCATATAATATTAATCGATGCCTTGATTGCACCAGCATCTTTATCCTCTAATACTAAGATAACTTCATATAATTGTAGATATTAATTGGACATATTAATATTGGACACTCAACAACTTGGGCAAGATTAAAGGAATTTAATATATCTAAAAGCGCAATCGTGTCACATCATCATTGACGTTACGTGCGAAAGGGATGGCTAGATAGATCGCTCTCATCCAAAAGCGAACGATTTCTAGGAAGTCTTTTTGACCCAAATTCACGTTTCAGTGTCTTATATACATTTCCGTCTCTATAGTGTAAAAATGGAGAGGGAGAATGACAGTTTTTTATTTATTATTTATTATAGACAGCAAACAAAAACAATATTAAAACTAACTCTACTTAAAGTCTACTTTCGTCTGATTCGTTGTGTTAATCTGTAAGATCACTACTTGTTCTTAAAACCATGTAATACGAATAAGAAAGTCGTAACATCTAAAAGAAAAACGAATGAGGAATTTTCGCTGAAATAACAAAAGAATTTAACCTACCCCCACAAACGTCATCAAAGTTAATCTTGTAAACTTTCCGGCTGTTATTTCAATAGGTTTTTGACTTCTCTGTATAATTATAACCAACGATTTCTGAAAGGAAATATGCGCCCCTACGAAATTAATTTCGTAGCACGTAGAAGCAACCTTTTGACTTTCCAACGCCAACTCGTTACCCCAATAACAATAAAGGAAAACTTGCGTGGTTATCGCAGACATAAACATGAAATCTTGTATGGACTGTTCGTTGGTTATCGGATATAACGAAGCGTGGTACATTGAAAAGCACAAAATCGGCGTGTTCGCCAAAAAAACAGTCAAAATAAGAAGATTAAATTGTTCTTCAAATTCGTATGCCAAATTGATTATTGCATGATGATAAATTACGATTTTTTTTAACACCATATCAAGATGGTCTTTAGGAATCGTTGATGGGTCGTCGAAATCTACGGAATAACCATCCTAAAAATATTAAATTATCGTATCCGACGTCATCGTTGCAAGTATGCAACCAATATCACAATGTAATACAGAAATCGCGTATACTGTTGTATTGGTTGCATACTTTAAATGATAAATTTTAAATATTAAGGGAATTACATTTTTAGCTGATGTAGCCGCATCAAAAATAATTCGTTGTATTGAATTTCTTAACATTTCCAGTTGCGTTTTAATATGTACGATAAATCCGACGATTAAGAGATCGATCGATGCGATTATCGATGCGAAAATCGTCAAACAATACAGTTGAAAGATACAAATCAACTCGAAATCGGGACTTTTCTTTAATTCGAATAACGAAAATGGCACGAACGGGGTTTGCCATCGCTTATAATCGTCGTAAATGATTCTCGTGACGGTCGCACGTATCGTTACAAAACACCAAACGATTACAGCCGGGGAATAATAAGCGATACTCTAAAAAAATATATAAATTTGAGGTTAAAATTAGATTATGTGTATGTCAAACATAAATTTTAAATTTCAA